CGTACTTACTTTTTATCTTTAAAAATATTTTTTTAGTAAATCAATGTCTAGAAGCTAAATATTTTATTAAATTAAAAAATAAAGATTGACTTATTTTACACAGTCGACTTATATTTTTTTGGTTAATTTTTTACTTTGTTGATTTATTTATATAGTTGATTTATTATTTTTATGTTCATCGACTTAATATTCAGCTTCTTCGACTTATTTTAAATTGTTGATTTATATTTCGTTTGCTTAATTTTTTAATTTGCCGACTTGTTTAGCCATTGACTTATTTTTTATTTTTGTCGACTTAATTTTCAGTTTCGTCGACTTATTTTAAACTCTTGACATATTTTATCGTTTGCTTGATTTTTTACTTTGTCGACTTATTTAACCATTGACTTATTTTTTATCTTCGCCGACTTAATATTCAGTTTCGTCGACTTATTTTAAACTGTTGACTTATATTTTGTTTCATTGACATTTTAAGTTATCGACTTGTTTAAACTACTAACTAATTTTTTTTAGTTCGTCGACTTAAATTTTTTTATTCATCGATTTATTTTAAACTACCGATTTATATTTTCGTTGGTTGACTTTTTACTCTATCAACTTTTTTAAACCATTGATTTAATTTTTATATTCATCGACTTAACATATTATTATTTAAATTAATTAAATTGTAAATCATAAAATTAATTAAAATCAATTCGTAATTTTATTTTATAAAAAAAATCAGTTGGTATTTTTATTTAAATTTTATAGAGAATTTGCATCTCATGACAAGGAATAATGTGGTAATTGGCAAAATAACAAAAGCATGTGCAAAACCATCCTACTGTTTTTCAAAAGAATCCCCACAGTTTAGTTAGCCAATTTATGTATAATTTTTTGTTACCTACCTAATTTACTCATTAATATAACAATATATTGTAATTTACGTTTTAAAGATTATAAATTAATTTTTAAATAAAAGTTGGAAAAACCAAATCATCTTTTTTAAAAAAAGTTTTTCTTTAATTAAGGATAAAAATATCATTTCAAATAACAAAATAGGGTATTTTTCAAAGTTTAATAAATTTGATATAGATTTCAAATTTCTAATAATTAGGATATACAACCCAATTTCTCCTTTTATATTTACATTATCTACGTTAAATGCCGAAGTTTTGGCCATGAAAAAAAGCTTTCGAAGCCGCAGTGGCTTCTGGTATTAAAGAACTGAACATGCATTCAAATTCTCAAATTTGTATCTCCCTAATC